GGCCGCAGGTCAGCGCTGACCCCCGTCCCCTCCTCGGAGCTCACCGGGCTACGAAAGACAGAAAAGTTTTCCAGCAGGACGCTTGTAACCACCACTGTAATGTACAGACAGAAGAGAAGTTGTTTTGCCTGAGATTGTTTCTTGTTCTACTTCATCGACAGAAATGAACTGCAAAAGATGCTAAAAAGCGAGGGGATACTTCTCATAGAATCAGATTGGTCTGGGCTGGAAGGGGCCTTATAGATCACCTGGGACCAACCCCCTGCCATGGGCAGGGACCCCTTCCACCAGACCAGGGTGCTCAGAGCCCTGTCCTTTAACACTGCCAGCAAGGGGACATCCACAACTTCTCTAGGCAGCCTGTGCCATGGCCTCACCACCCTCATGCGGAAGAATTTCTTCCTTATACCTAATCTAAATCTATCCTCTTCTATCTTGTAGCCATCACCCCTTGTCCTATCACTCCATGCCCTTGTCAAAAGCCCCTCTCCAGCTCTCTCACCGGCCCGTCCAGGCACTGGCAGGCTGCTCTAAGGTCTCCCCGCAGCCTTCTCTTCTCCACGCTGAACAGCCCCAGCCCTCCCAGCCTTTCCTCACAGCAGAGGGTTTCCAGCCCTCGGATCATTGCTGGGGTCTCCTCTGGCCCCTCTCCAGGTCTGTTCTGTGCTGAGGGCTCCAGAGCTGGACGCAGCGCTCCCAGGGGGGTCTCACCAGAGCCGGGTGCAGAATCCCCTCCCTCACCCTACTGCCCATCCTCCTGAAGATGTGGCCCAGGGAACGTCTGGCTTTCTGGGCTAACTTCAAACAAAAGCAGCTTCTCTTACTGAGCCACTTTGGACTTAACCTGTCAGTATTGAGGAGTACAGAGCAAGTGCGTTAATACTTTAGAGGACAACCTCCCGCTCAGTAACAAAAATATGGACTGTTACATACAGCGATCGTTATGGTCTAAACAACAGGACCTAACCTCTTCCTCATGTCTCCACTTTTTCAAACATTCTGACGTGTACATGAGTTTGAGCGCTCTACATTCTTAACACACAAATCAGTATTTCTGCTTTCATTTTCTGTTGACATGTATCAATTACACAATAAAGACCCTCTAAAAAAATATAATTTTAAAAGCTGAGACTTTGCAAGACTTACCTGGGGTCAGAAGAAATGTAATCATCAGGGTCTGAAAAAACCTGCATGTAATTTATGTTGCTTGAGTCAGAGGTCTTGTAGTAAGAGAACTCATCTCAAAAATGGAATTTGTGTCTCATTCAAGTACCTTGCTAAGTTCCAAATGCTTACGAAAGGTAATGTACACTAAAAAAAGTAAAAGATTAATTTTGTCATGCTCAAAGAAAAATGAAATAGGGTTTGAAAATGGTCAAGAAAACACACACCAGTTTGTGCATAAATCCATCCACCTCATTGTTCCCATTTTAAACGTAAGTTACATGCATTAACGCAGGTGCTCGATACAGCCACATATAGAGCTGAAAGGTCACTTTGTACGTTTTTAACCATTAAACAGAATTACAGCCTGCTGTATACATTCAGTGTGCCTCATACCTTCCATCAGGCAGAATACACTGGAGCTGTTGTTCTTCATCAAATCTTAAGAACTCGGTAGAGCAACAGTATCGATGCACGCAGTCTCCACAGCAGAAATTGGGACAGGATTTTGCAGGTTGTGCATTGCCATGATGATCAATATACGCCTGACAATCCTCACCCAAAACTGAGAAAAAGTTAAAATCCAACAGTCAGTAATTAAAAGAATAATCATATAAAGTATCTTTCTCATATTGATCAGCTCACCCAGGTTAACTTTTAAACAAGTTTCAAGTATTTTGGTTAGGTCTTACAAATCGCTTACTTCCTTTTGAGTATAGCAAAGGCAAATACTCTCTGCACAAAAAGTGTCTTGTCTTTGTCAAGTAGCTCTTCCCAACTGTTCACACATACATAAAGGACCAACTGCACGCAAATATGAGATGCTCTGTCTGGTGATACTCTCTTCAGTACATCTGCTAAGTACCTGCCAAACTACTGCAAAGACTCGAAGAGCAACATGACCAGCCAGATCCAGTAAAAACCCCACGCAAGCCCTAAGTTAATCAGTTAGCAGAAAATGTTAAATTTTCCTAGATACTTGACTTGATGCAAAAGATGCAACACAACTTCATTCACTGTAGATTTGGATTTCCACGCGACTAGGTTGTTTCTACCTGTTGTTTTGTTTACTTCATGGAAAATCCTTATCCTGGTAATCCATGGCACAAAACAGAGATTTCTAGTCAGTTAAGTGGCATCTTCCCACTGCAAGTCTCAACTGCTGCAGCTACAATGGTAAGGAAATGGAGATATTCACATACTAGGATGGATTTCTTAGGGGACATGCCATGCTTTTCAGCACTGCATTGGGCTGATACATTCCTTAACATGCCAGCTGTTTTCTCTCTCACATTGCAGTCATTCAGGCTTGAGAGGGCAAAGAAAGAACAACACAATAAAAGCTTCCAACTGTTACGTAAAAACACTTCTCAAAGCTTAAGCAAAAAAGCATTTCCAAAGAAGTATCTTTAGCAAGAGTATCATTACAGTTTTCAGTGCTAAATGCTGCAGTCAGCTGGTTTCTATTCCTCATTTTCCTTCCTATCACATTGTCACATAAACATGACATACCCTGATATTTTGCTCCTAAACCCGACTCCACCCGAGAAGCTCAAGTTACTTCAGATGCAGTTGTTCAAAGAAAACAAGAAGCAAAGACAAGAAACCATGTTCCTCCAGAAGAAAAGTAAGGGGTATTTCCTGTTGTATTTAAACTGATGTTGCTGTTTGAAAACTCAGCCTTGACTCTCTAGCAACAAGACATACCTGAATATTTCAGCCAACATCAAAAGGAAAAAAATGTTCTAAGGGGTTAAATGTGAAGGTTCAAACGCAAGGAAAGAAATTCTGTACCAGTACCCCAGTACTTCTACAAATGTGTTTATGCATGCTTATGCCTGGTTCACCAATTTTTTCCTCTGCAGATACCTAACAACTCTTTCCTTCTTGCATCACAAATAATGAAGTGATAGGTAGCTAAATGGATTCCAAAATACTTTGTGAAATTACAAACAAAGCAGCCAACAAAATTACTCCATCTCACAGCTGCGCCACTGCAGCACAATAAAGTAACAGACACCAAAGCTCTAGTCCAGTTCTCAGGCAGCTGAGCTGACAAGGGCCCAAGTACACCAAGAGAGAAAAGAATCTGGTGCCTCTACTTTGTTCCTCTCTTCTTGCATCAGCTGTGGCACCCAGAGACTCTTCCTCAACTGATTCAATTCACCAGCTGATCAGCAGATCAGCTAGGGGTTTGAGGGACTATTTTTCCCCAGCTGGTTTTCTGCCAGCCTAATGATCTGAATCACTTCAGAAGAGTGTTGCGACATGTCCGTGGTGAAGATGGACAAAGCATACGCATACCATATGAATGCTGCAAATGTCGAACTTTATTCATAGATTCAGTTTCTTATATACTATTTTTAAGATTATCTCATCGGAACATGCAATTTTCTAGTGACAGCTACAAATTATACCTAATATTTATGGTGATAACTACTGATTATATATCTATTTACTCATTAGTACAGGATATAACTTCCTCACAGTAACATCTTTACTTGCCAATTGCATTTCTTGGCAGATCATTCAGTCCCATTTCTTTATGAATCTTTGCTTCCATTCTTGTTTACTTCTTTCTGTACTTTTCTACAGTCCTTGAATCTTTCATCAGGGCATCCTTTAATCACTGACTTTGGTCAAGCAAGGCCCTACAAGCCCTGCTCCACAGCAGCAAACCCCACAGAAGAGGTCCAGTGTACACCCAACCCAGCACAACGCAAGGGCTCCTAAGGCTGCAGGAGGCAGAAATGACCTCCTGTTTTGGCACACCTGCTACTGAGGGGTTGGGTCATCCCATCCTGTAAAGGGCAGCCTGATGATTTCACACAATCAATACCACAAAAACCCTTTAACCAACTGATCAAGTTCCACCTCGAGAGTAGAGCTGCTAAACTACTGCCACTGAAAGTCTCCACCCATTCAAGTAACAAAACTTCTAACTTCCAACCCCACTTATTCGAGGCCAGCTTGCATACACTTACTGCTGTAGCACCAGCTTGAAGAACCCTTTCTCTGACGCTCACCCTTCAAAGTACCTACAGATAAAACTCTGAGCATTTCAGCCATGCTTTAGCTCAGCCCTCAGAAAAACTGTGATCCTTTACCACTCTGACCAAGCTAAATGCCCTCTTGCAGATCCACTAAAGATCACATTCAACTTGACATGTCTGTGCAGAATTCAATCCGTTAGATAAAGCGACGCCACCAACGCATACAATATCAGGATTGCTTCTCCTTTCCGAGGCTTTGCTTGATAGGTCCTGTGATCACATCTGCTTTTTCTCACCACATGACAAAGCTGGGGAAGACCACACGCTCCATCCTCTACACACAGTAACAAGATAGCTACAGATAGGGCTGCTGAAAAAAGCCCCTCAGTTATCAATGTTAGCATCTGGCAGCTACGTATGAATTCAATTATCAATTAGCTTTATATAAGCTGTGCTGTTTACGCAGTATCATCACTTAACACTTAAGTAGTTATATTATCTTGCCTTAAAAGGCTGAAGTTTACTGTGCTGGGCATGAAAAGGTGAAGGTTTGAGTGGGATGCACGAAGAGTCACTGGCAGCTGCTCTGTGGCACATGGCTTCTCCCCCAACAGCCCTACCTCAGGTCTGACAGCACCCATTAGGTGGGTGCACACCGTCACTACCGGAGCACGCACTGCTGCTAACAACGCCCACCAGTACCAACGCAAACCTACCTCACTCCTCAGCCTCACTGTTTC